CAACAGACATAACTCTGCTAGCAATGTTATTAGCACATCTGAATTGACTGGGAAGGTAGCAGGGTGACTTGCTGAGAAGTTGTTTATGATCAAGAGAGCTGAGGAATGCTTGGACTGAGAGTGAGACCAGTGGATGAAGAGAAGAACTGCTCTCTAACAGTCAGGAAAGTGATTGACTGGACTTCCTGCTGGATGTGCCGCAGGATGCAAGGGAACAATAACAGCGGCAGCTAGTAGTTAGTGGGCAGATTCCTAGGTGTTTTCCACCCATGGTCTCAGGTGACCTGTTAACCAGCCTCAAGGAATGGAAGAGGGAACCAGCCAAAGAACAAAGCAGTCAAGGAGCCTGGACTCAGGCAAAGCATGGTATTGCTCCAGAAGCTGAGCAGTTTCTACTTCCTTCTGGATTTCTGGTTAGAAAGATTAGTTGGACAGTGGGACTACCAAGCATGATAGGAAACAAGAAAGGAAGAAGCCATTGTTGTGGATATGCTTATATGGCCTTATTAAGTCTGAGGTACCTGCCATCTAGTGCTAGGTGAGAAGTATTAGTTAACCGATCTTAGGAACTTAACCTCACAGGCTGGAGACAGAAATTTGAGACTCACCGAAGTGGTAAGCCAGAACAAAAGGGAAAAGGCATCCGTACACATAGAGGAAAGCAAAAGACAGAAATTCTTGTTTAAATGGTTGGAAGAACAAGAACCTCTAGCAGAAGAGACTACCGCAGGAAGAAACTTGTTTTTTTTTTTTTTTTAAGAACAAACTCTGCCAAAGCGTTCTGCATGCAAGGCAGTAGTTGGCCAAAAGCCGAAGCCCTCAGACACAGGTGCTGCTCTTGAGTTGGAGATCATTAGGAAATCAGCAGCTAGAGGTGGATGAGACAGATCAGAGCCAGGTGTCTGAGATGGAAGCTGTTAAGAATGTAACAGCACATATTCCTACGGTAGTTGGCCACGTTCTGCTCTCCTCTCTCTGGCATGTAATGATCCACCTGAGGACCTCCTGGCTGGGATGATGATGAATCAGGAACGCAAAGACCCACAGGTGAATCAAGCTGATGTGGAATATGGTTCCCCAAATGAGTAAAAGCCTCTGAGTTATTTCTAACAGGAACCCTCTGAACTGCCTAACTTTGAAAAACTCTGTCTCTACGCATTTCATGTCACCCCCTCTTCTAACTGGTTCATGCTGTGTGAGTTGCCGTGGAGACTAAAATGAAATAGTCCTTGGGGTGACAACAGCGCCTCCTGGCAGAGCCACACAAACCAAGAAACTGAATTTGAAAATGGAGTTTATCTTTAGGAATTATAAATGCTAAGATTAGACAAAAGGACAGCAGAGAAGTCCCCACTGGACCTGGAAATGAAGAAACGTTTGTACAGGTAAGGGATGACTTGAGTGGCAACCAAGCACAGTGACTACAAGGAAGCAGACAGCAGGTGTACCCCTGAGCTTTAAGCACCCAAGTTGGAGACACGATTCTGAAAGGTATGGCTTCCCATTACAGTCCTCACAGTATAGTTTTTACTTTTATCATTATGAATATATTTGAGGACAATTTTTAAATCTTTTTTAAAAAAAGTTTTGAAGTGTTGTCTCTTTAAGATCCAACTTGACCATTTCTGCCAGAAATACACTGGATTTCTGTATCATTCAGGTTGTGCCTGACAAAGACAACACGGAAAGGGTACTTGAGAGCGAGCCTGGGTTCCACCTGAGACTCACTTCTGACTCTGTGATTACTTAACTTCATCAGGCCTTGTTTCCTTGTCTGATGGAGGCTACATTGGGGGTTGATTTCTGATACATTTTTGCACTTAACTGTACTCCATGACATCCCTTCAAGTGGCAGGGCTTTATGTCAAAAATGAAACAAACACCTCTGGCCACCCCCACCAAACCTCAACTTAAATCTCATTGGTTTTTCAGGAAAAAAAAATTTTTTTTTGAGGGTCCAAAGGGTAAAAATAAACATTAACAGACTGAATGACTAATTACTGATGGGGGATTACTAGAGATACATTCTTCCTTGAGAGAAATACACATTCATCAAGTATTTTCAATAATTTCAGATAAATATCCAGGAAGTTTATTTCTAAAATAAAATATCTAAACAGCTCAAAGCTTTTCTGAGTAACTAAGTCCAATACTAGGATAGGCAGAAATGGAAAACTTAATGCTTACAGGGTAAATTTTCTAACATGCTAATCTCCATTACATCAAGGAGAAAAAATTCAACTTCATTTCAAAAATAAATCTGTTTACAGAAAATCTAAGTAGCGTTATTTGTTAGACACAGTGGCGAACTCTGTACTACCCACTATATAAGACTGAGCTTATAAGAAACAGACACAAACGAACAGGATTATGCTTTTACTGAGAGAAGAAGTGGCCTAAAAAACAAGTACGAGTTCTAAGCCAATTTATAGCTAAAAAGGTTGCAACAGCTTAGAGAGCTGGGTAGTGACTTTATGAAGTTCATGCCAAACAAGGCGATCCCATCTTCCTTAAAGAGTAAAAATATATGCAATCATACAAAGTTAGAACTTATCAATCCTTTCTGTGGAACAAAACACATTAAGGGAAATTAATAAGGGATTCTGGGCAGATGTAACAAAAAAATGGAGCAGGAGAAAAAAATTTAAATGTCAAAAGCGCTGCCTCAAGTCCTTTGGAGCCAGACTGCAAAACCACATGGAGAGTACAAGACCCAGGGCAGGGAGTCCATTGGGGAAGCTATGGGCACCTCTCTAATGGGCTGCAACTCCCACTGGTGAGCATTAGAACCAGGACTCAGGCGGCCCTGACTGGACGGGCAGTGGCACCCACTGGCATGAGTGTAGGCTGGAGGGTGGAGTCGGCTGGGTTGAGATAGGCTTCAATACCTTACAATGTATACAAGATCTCAAGAGGATGTGGGGCAGACTGGACCAGTCCTCTGCACATGCTGACAAGCACAGGAACCAGAACTCGAGGCTGGTCCAGTGGGGATTATTGGAGGCGGCTGACTGGGATGTAGCTCCCCCTTGTGTGAGAGCTGAGCACCTGGTAGGCTGGGCTGGGCTGGGCTGGGCTGGGCAGCAGCACCCATTCATTTGCAGAGGAAAGACGGCAGAACAAATTGATCAACTACCCCAGTGAAGCTTGACAGCAAATTTCTGGGCAAATGGAGACTTGGAGGTGGATTATGTCAGCCAACTGACTTTGGAAGGAGTTCCTTATCCTTGGAGCGGTGAGACCAATAGCATCTCAAAATCACCTGAGCAGAACCCTCAGAAAATGCTCCACAATAAGGACCCTGGGATGACATTGGGTCATCCCTGGGTATTACGGTGGCTGGAAGGCTGGATATGGTTTCTCTTCTTGTATCCTCCTCTCCCCCAGATATTTGAGGAAGAAAAAGAAAATATGTAAATGATGGTCTTACCCACTTTCCACTGATCCTTGACCCTTCCCACCCCAATCAACTATGTATACATCATAAAAAAAATAAACAAAAAAACTACTGCCTGCTAAAACCAACAAATGTTGTAAATTTACAATAGGCTCAAATGAGATTTTCCTAAGAACTATTATGAAATTTTTTATATAAATTTTGAAAAATATCTTATATATTGAAAAGCAACAAATCTTAATTGTACAATCTTCACTTTTTTTAAGAAAAGAAATCATGTAACCAGCACCCAAAACTGAAATTAAAAAATATCATTTTTAGGGCCCGGCGCGGTGGCGCAAGTGGTTAAGTCCTCGCCTTGCACGCCCGGGATCCCATATGGGCGCCGGTTCTAATCCCGGCAGCCCCGCTTCCCTTCCAGCTCCCTGCCTGTGGCCCGGGAAGGCAGTCGAGGACGGCCCAAGGCTTTGGGACCCTGCACCCGCGTGGGAGACCCGGAAGAGGCTCCTGGCTTTGGATCGGCATAGCATCGGCCCGTTGCGCTCACTTGGGGAGTGAATCATCGGATGGAAGATCTTCCTCTCTGTCTCTCCTCTCTGTATATCCGCCTTTCCAATGAAAAATAATAAAAATAAATCTTTAAAAAAAAAAAAAAAATATCATTTTTAGAATCTCAGAAGTATACCTGTTTGCAGTTATAATTCTTTTCAAAGCTTTTTGGAACTTCATATTAATAGACATTAACATTAGGTAATCTTTCGGATCTGGCTTCTTGTGTTCAACATTACACATGTCGATATCGGGTTGTAACTAGTTCATTCTATTTACAGCATCCCATCACATGACTACACCACACTTCATTTGTGTGTTCCATTGTTATTAGGCATCTAAAACTGGCAATATCCTAATTCTGAAAACTGTCATAGTGGTTAGACACACATTAAATGAAACATTTTAACAGAGCTTATACAATGCTTGTTAAAATGTTAAGTGGGGCCTGGCACAGTGGCTTAGCAGCTAAAGTCCTTGCCTTGAATGTACTGGGATCCCATATGGATACCGGTTCTAATCCCAACAGGTCCATTTCCCATCCAGCTCCCTGCTTGTCGCCTAGGAAAGCAGTCAAGGACAGCCCAAAGCCTTGGGATCCTGACCCACGCAAGAGACCTGGAGGAAGTTCCTGGCTCCTGGCTTTGGATCAGAGCAGCACCAGCCATTGCAGTCACTTGGAATCATCAGACGGAAGATCTTTCTCTGTCTTTCCTCCTCTCTGAATATCTGACTTTGCAATAAAAATAAATAAATTTTTTAAAAATGTCAAGTGAAAATGTTTTTAGAAGTTGCTAAGAACTACTACCTATCCCCTAAAAAGCCTAAGACCCATCCCCCCCCCCAAAAAAACCTCTTGGAAAGAATACATTAAGATGTTAGTTTGGGCTGATGTTGAAGTTGTGGGTACTTCCCTTACCCCACTGTTTCTAAAAAGATACATTGCCTTAACAATGATTTTTTAAAATCGACAATAAAGAAACAATAAGAGCAGAGGAGTTATGGAAAACATGGAAAAACACTTCAGAGTAGTTTGGCTGAAGTTAACACTTACTGTAAACTGTTCAATGTCTCTTTCAAGTCCCACATTTGGCAGATCAGGCATCATATGAGCCACTACTTTGAAACCAGAATCTTTGGCCAGGTGAAATGACTCACATACTGCCTTCACAGTGTGTCCCCTGCAGAAAGAAAATTTACTATCTGTTACACAAATAAATGGGCTGCTGAGGGAAAACAATCTCAGACACATGTAATACAAGTTCTACAACTTGGGGGAGAAAATAAATGCAGAAAGTTGCCCTTCACATCACTGGCTTGTGACAAGGCCTGGAAGTAAATCATTCTCCTGAGAGATTTCTCAGAAATTCCCTTACGTGCCTAATCAAAGTCTTAAAAGTACATGACTAGGATAACAAGAGTCATACTACTATAAAATTATTTGGCATAGCATCATCAGTCAAAATAAGCTTACTAATGTTAAATATCTGCCAAAACATAAGCAATGAGCCCCAAATCACCCAGAAACTGTAGTTTGTTTTGTTCTTTCCTTTAAAGCACTTGTGAAATCATTTGTATAAAGACAGGAAGAATGAAACGTGTGATTCAAAGCAGATGTCACTACTGAAAGGTCCTCAAAAAAATGGAAAGAAAATTAACTCGTGCTAAAGCAGAACCGCATAAGGCTTTATCAATAAATTGTCTTAATTCGCACTCTAATGCCATATCCAAGTAGGAAACAAGCCTCCCGAAGACTGAATCCCACTGTTACCCTTCCAGCAAAGAAGCCAGAAACTACGCAACTCCATCTTACTCCCTCTGGATGTCCCCACTCATTTCCCTAGCTTCAGTGTCTAATCTCTTTTTGCTAGTAACTTCCAAATTTCTATGAGGAGGCTAGGCCTCATTCCTGAATTCTATTCCCAAATACTACTTCTTCAAAGGTACTACAAAATATGGCAGTCACTAGGCATCCAAAGTTACTCAAATTTATATTTCCTTTACTTAAAATGAAAGAACTAAGTTTTTCATTTGCTTTGTTGTATTGTAGCATGCAGCTATAGAAAATTATGAACATCACCGAATGTTCCTTTGGCTAGCCCTAGTCTAAGGCAATTATTTACCACCTGTTCCACAAAAATTTAAAGCTTAACAAATCCAAAATGAGAGTCTTTTTTTTCTTCCAAGCTTCCACGACTTTGCATTAGTTTCTACTTTCATTTCCAACCAGTCACGAAATGCTACCACCCACTTCTGTTCAGGACACAAGTCTCTCTCGCTTAAATTACTGCAATAGCCTCTTAACCAGCCTCCCTTTCTGCCTGCTCTTCTCCAATCTATCCTCCCATACTGGAACTAAAGGGATCTTTCCAAAACGCATATATACTCCTATCACAACTTAGCTCTCAGCCAGCCAATGGCTTACTGCTGTTCTCAATTAAATCCCAGTTTCCCAGCACAGCCTTTTAAGACACCTTGTAAACTGGCCCTTTGCTTTTCACTCTCACCTCTCACCACTCTAACCAAACTCAAGCACTCTGAGCTCATAAATGTGTTGTGTGCTTCATTCTTCAGAGGTTAGCTCTTATTTTCTTTCTGCCTGAAGCAATATTCCTGTTCTGCACTTAACTCCCACTCTAACTTTGAGCTGAGATGTCATTTTCTGCAGAAAGCTTCCCAGACTTTCAGGAAAACCTTTCCATCTCCACACATCTCTTCAGCACAGCCCTTGATGACCTCAGCACCAGAACCAGTTTTCTTGCTTTAAATCTTTCCCTACATGAGTGCATTCTGAGTTAGTCTTTCTCAAGCTGTTAGATTCTTCTGTGAGCTAAAAATTCTCAACAGATCTCTGCTACCTACAGAAAACATCGCACCTTCTCTAACCTGGCATTCTTCCTTCTAGCACGACCCTCAATCCTATCTACCCAAATCCTATGAAAATAGTTTTGTGTGGCCCGACTCAAAACAAGCTTTCCTGTGAACCCTGTCTTGACCATTCTAGATGGGTGAACTCTGTTGTGCAAGGAATTCCTTTTAGCCCTACTACCCCACCAACTTACAATCAACTATGAAGTCCTTAGTTTAATATTTATAATGAAAATAGAATGTGTCTCTGTCAACCCTTATTTCTCCCTTCCTCATACTGCCAAGTTTTTCAAAGTTCATTACCACTGCCTCCGCAAACTTTCTTACAGTCTCCTGCCAAGTGAAATCTGCTTCACAAAAATCTCATAAACTCTATCCTGTCTTCCTTCTTATTCAGACTTTGTTGTTGTTGTTCCATTCTCCTTGGCCTTCTCTCTGCTTCACACTACTGACCTGGAGAACTGCCTCTTGCTTCCTATATGGAGGAGGCCTTTTACAATAAGAAAATGGAGAGACAGGAGCCTGGTTATAGGAAAAGAATCCATAAAGACTGAAAATGAAAAAAGAGGGCATGGAATTAGGATCATAGATAAAAAATCTCTGAAAAAGGTAAATTACTTATAAATGCTCATTTCACTCTCTCTCTAGGTTGATATGAAGGAAGAAAGGATAAATAGGAACATAGAGAACTGGTGGGAATACAGGAAAACATGTGCATCTTACCTGTTGGTGTCTCTGGCCACATCTTCATAGACACTCTGCACCCCAATCTCCAGCCTTGTGCAGCCATAGGTCAACATGTCACTTAGATGTCGCTTCATGCAATAATCTGGTCTGGTCTCAATAGTAATACCAATGCACTTTGTGAGGCTTCTCTCAGAATATCTGCAGAACAAATTAAAAATAACAAATATACCAGTTTCAGGATGTTTATTCCCACTCAAAGAACTGCTTTCTCAGTCTTCTGAGTAGGAGACAGTTTTTAAGAGGATGGGCTCTGGAGTCAGACCATGTAAGTTCAAATCCTGGCTCTGAGACTTCCGACCTATGTGAATGGCAATGCTATTAACCTCTCTGTACAGGAGTGTCTTTATTTGTAAAATGAGGAAAATAACAGTACCTGCTTTGCAAAGGACTGATGTGAGTGAACTAGCACATCGTAATGTTATTATCGTTATTATTCTTCTGCAGTAAGTTGCAACTATAATCTCCCTGAAAATAGTGATTTCAACTGTGAAGGCCTATTTTTCAATTCCTAGCAACCATTTCTCACATAAGTGAAAACCATCTGTGTTATTTATTTGCCACTGCATGCTTTAGAGTAGTTTTTTAAAAAGGAGACAGTATGTACAAGCATAGGAATAATTCAGATGCAATATCTTCTACATGTACCAATGCCTTTCTGCCAAGCCTACTCAATGCAGCAGTAATTTACAAAATTAGGAAACATTTTTACCTGTCATTAACTCCAGACACCAGGGTAGTAAAGTTCCACTTAAGAGCCAAGCTGTCTGAGTTAATGGCCTTCTTATTAGCCAAACGTCCCCAGAAATAAAAAACCAAATGCTTAGGGGAGCTAGTGAGAGAGGATGGGAAATCATATTGACAGAGGCCACTGTTGGCCAAGCCCTGTGTATCACACTATATCAATATGGAATCTGCTGATCGGTTCCGCACCTCTTCATTTCAGAGGCAAATACACTGAAGTTCCAAGGGAATTATCAACTTGTTGGAGGGTACAGAACTAATAAAAACTCAACTCAAGATGTACAGCTTGTTCCACTTGCCTAAACTCCCTGTGCTAGATTTCATTTACTACTCTACTTGGAAACTCAGCCTGAGCATCAGCCTTCTATCCCTCCAACACCTCTAGCTCCCTGGAGCCCCATCATTCTTTCCAGCACATGCTTCCCCAGTCTTCTCCATTCTGTGAGGAAGATGAAGGAAATTTTTGTCATTTAATTTTCTTCTTTCCAAAGGTGCTTTTGGTTTTTTCTTGACAATGAAAAAAAAAAAAAAACATAAAAATCCCATAATTTTGTAACGAGAGTCTGGCATATTGCTTCATGATAAAATATCACTAAAAACTCATTCATTTAAATGTCAGTAATAAATAAGAAAGCTAAGAATCACAGAAATAGAGGATTAATTAAAAAGTATTTCATTCTAGATCCTGAAATTCTTTTGTACTATTTGTTTAAATGAGATTTTAACATAGAATTACCTGATGCAACAGAACTGAATGATAAACAACTAGTTCAAATTTACTCAAAGATGAGTTACAAGATTAAAAAAATAAAAGCTCCTATTTTTATCAAATTTTTCTAGCTAGGATACTACCTCATTTCTTTTCTGTGAAACAACAGAAACAGGAAGTTCCTTGCCTTTTAAATAGGTATGTACAGGGCCCAGCATGGTAGCCTAGTGGCTAAAGTTCTCGCCTTGCATACGCTGGGATCCCATATGGGCACCAGTTTGTGTCCTGGCTGCTTCACTTTCCATCCAGCTCCCTGCTTGTAGACTAAGAAAGCAGTGGAGGGCTTTCCAAAACCTTGGGACCTTGCACCTGCATAGGAGACCTGGAAGTAGCTCCAGGCTCCTGGCTTCAAATGGACTCAACTCAGCTCTGGCCATTGTGGCCACTTGGGAAATGAACCAACGAATGGAAGAATTTCTCTCTGTATCTGCGTCTCTCTGTAACTCTATTATAGAACCTAAAAAAAAAAAAAAAGAAAAAAAAGAAAAAAGAAAAAAAAAAGAAAGAAAGCTATGTACAAGGTATCAGTAACAGATGTTCACAATGCCATACGATGTGTGTGTGTATAACACCCATCTTCTTACCATAGCAAGTGAGAAGTTACAGGGAAAAGAGGGTTTTAATTTTTTTAATAAAATTTATTTGAAAGGCAGATTTGAAAGAGGACAGATAAAGCTTTCATCTGCTAATTCACTCCCTAAATGGCCACAATGGATGAGGCTGGGTCAGGCCAGAGCCAGGAACCAAAAATTTCACCTTGTACTATCTTCTGCTGCCTTCCCTGGGTATTACCAGGGAACTGAATCAGAGGCAGACAGGTCTTGAACCGGTGCCCACAAAAGATGCTGGCATCACAAGTTACAGCTTAACCAACCCACTGTGCCACAACACTGGCCTAGCCCCTACTCCTGCCACCTTCTCTTAAATTTTAAAACTCAGGAGTAGGAACTCGGCTTAGCATTTAAAATGTTGGTTGGGGCACTCATGTCCCATATTGAAGTGCCTGAAATTAAGTCCCAGCTCCATTCCGGAATGCATCTTCCTGCGGATGCATACCTTGGGAGGCAGCAGTGACAATACGAGGTTGCGATCCTGACAATCACATGGGAAATCTAGACTTGTTCTTAGCTCCTGGCATTGGCCTGGCCAGACAGGGAACGAAACACTGGGTACAAATGCTTGCTCACATGTGCATGCTCTCTGCCTCTCAAATAAGGAAGAAACAAATAAATACCCATCTATTACAAAGTAAACCAGATGAAGGTTGGTTTAAAAAAAGAATTGTTTTCAATGAGTGTATTTTAAAATATAAATGACAATATCCTTGAATTAGTCATTCTAAGTCCTGCTATTAATTTGTATTTTTTAAAAGCCCATAGTATTTCCTAAATGTTTCCCACTAAGGTGGTAACAATGGTAACCTGCCGTCACTTGGGGAACAAAACTAGAGGGACAGCAACTTCACGAATGGGAACTGATCTAGAGGAAAGAGAAAAAAATGACTAGCTGATCCTTCTACTGTGCAGATCAGTAGCAGCTCAACCCAGGGCAGACGGAGGAAGCTGCTGCAAGATGTCACGGTCTCTTCCCAAGTAATCAGAATATAGTACAGGACAGGGAAGCAAACCTTTCTTCTCTAATAAAATTGAACTCCACTTCAAAAATGTATTTCCTCTGGGGGAAAAAAGTCATTATCTTTTACAAGAAGCAGAAATGGAGGAAAGCTGCAACTTTGAAAGTCAGTATTTCACATTTTTTCCAAATTGTATTTTCATCTGAAAAGCAATTAAGAAAAAAACCTTTTCAAATTTGAATAAAAACAACATAATGTTTCCTAAAAGACAGAGTATAATGTCATTTTCCCATAAGATAACTGTATTGCTATCAGAATTTTTGTTAATATGGATATATAATCCTAGAGTCACTTACTGTTCCTCTAAATATATTGGGAATGTAAAGACATCAATATAACCGTGCTCTGATATGCAAATATGCACACAGCCTTTCAATTAACCTCAGGTGACAGTAGAGTGCCTGCTATCCTTCCCAGTATCATTGCCACATCCACTGTAGTATGGCCCTCCTTTTGTACTTCTTCAACTACCACAGCTTCCAGGGACCACAGACTTCTTGGTTAGAGAGGAACTCTATCAGCCTCTAAGAGACAAAGTCGTTCTTGCACGTGGGTCTCTGGATTCCAGTTCCACTGCATGTGTGGTTTTAAACAGTCATCTTAATTTAACCTACACAGTCCATCATATGAGGTTATTTTTTTTTTTTTGCAAGCTATAGGGATACACATCTGGAAGAAACTCGTAAATCAATAACTTACATGGACAAAAATGTATACAGTTTGGGATCAGAAGCAGGAATGGGGAGAAACAGGACAAGACTCTGGGAATTTAAAAAAAAACAAACAAGGGGAGCTGGCACAGTAGCCTAGTGGCTAAATCCTCACTTTGCATGCGCCAGGATCCTATATGGGTGCTGGTTCATGTCCCGGCTACCCCACTTCCATCCAACTCCCTGTTTGCAGCCTGGGAAAGCAGTAGAGGATGGCCCAAAGCCTTGGGACCCTGCACCCATGTGGGAGACCTGGAAGATATTCTGGGCTTTAAACTGGCTCAGCCCTGGCCGTTGACCACTTAGGGAGTAAATCAGTAGACAAAGGATCTTTCTCTGTCTCTCCCTCTCTGTAAAAACTGACTTCCCATTAAAAATAAATCAATTAAAAAAAAAAAGCAGCAAAGACTCAAAATGCTAATTCTCCACCTTGAGGGGTCAGCATCCCACGAGAGTGCTGGTTGTAGTCCTAGTTGCCTCACTTTTGTTCCAGCTCCCTGCTTGTGGACTGGGAGAGCAGCAGATGATGGCTCCTTGGGACCCTATAGCCCAGAGAATCAGAAAGAAACTCCTGGCTCCTGTTTTTAAATTGGCCCAGTTCTGGTCCCTGTGGCCATGTGGGGAGTGAAGCAGTGGATGGAAGCATACTTCTGCGCTGGCTCCATCTTACCTCTCTGTACATCTGCCTTTCAACTACAAAATACTAAAACCTAAAAAAAAAAAATCAAATGAAACCCCAAGTCTTCAAAATACAGCTCACAAGCCTTTCCCTTTCAGTGACATCTTTCCTGAGACCCGTTGGTAGGAATTCTGTTCTCACTTCCAAAGCACCTTGCTCATACTATAAAGGTATCTACAAAAAACCAGGAACAACACTTACAGAATACTGAGCTATAAGGTTTTTTTATCCTATCCTATCATCAGGAACAAGATGTAAAGGCCCATTCACCATTTCCATTTAACACTGTACTAAACATCGTAGCTATGGCAGTGAAGGAGAGAAAAGCATACAGATTCAAAAGAAAAAAACACAGTCAAGCATGTTTATGAATCTCAACAGAAAACATTTGCCCAATGAAGTTTTATTCATAATGATCACAAACTGCAAATAGCTGGTTCCATTTCTGTCAACAAGCATGGGAAAACTGTGGTCTGTGCAAACATTACACTACCCCGTGTCATTCTGTAGCCAACAGCAGCAGGCCTCAAGGGAGCAGCAGTGAGAGCTGGCTTATGCACAAGAGTATCTGATGTATAGTTCCACCTATGTGAAGTTCTAGAACAG